ATAAATAAGTGAATATATATATATATATATATATATATATTCACTTATTCATTTCATTGAAATTCTTCGCCACCTCGAATTCTATACCACAGGTACTAGAGCCTACTTACGTTTCCGGCGGGAATCCCTATTCTCGCATTGTCGTACCACGCCTCCCGATCGTTTTCACACTCAGATGCATCATTATCTTGCATTGAGGTCTTACGTTGAATTCAAGAAAGATGTACTCATTCATAAGCTTGATTTCATCAGTGTGTCACTGTAAAGAGTATAAAGCTAATCAGTAGATCTGTTCCGGTTGGTGGTTTTATGCCATGTTTTCTCGTGTGTTCAAATTTAGTGATTCGATCCGGCGATTATTACCTGTTTGAGGGAGATCCTGAAGAGGACGATGAAATGCCCCGTTCAGCACCGGCAAAAGCAGGGAAGAAAAGAAAACCACCACCCAAGACACAAGGTTCTGCTCCGGGGTCTTCTCAGGCTACTTCGAAAGCACCCTTGTTTGTGGATAACCCTAGTCAGTCTGGTCCCGCAAGTTGCGTCCACGGTACATCAACATTCCACGGCATACCAGAAGTCGCCACTAGTCCCGTTCATTCAGATGGCACTGTGTTGGATAGTTTGTCGTTTTCCGCTATGCATCCTCTGGGTCCGCACCAACAGCAGTTGTTTGGGGCTTTACCAAATGTCGAGCCATCGGCAATGGAAGTATTGACTAACTACACGGACCCTTACAGTGAAACCAGGTTTGTTCCCACTTCTTTGTCAGCTTTCTCTGGTGAGGATTTCCTCCCCTGTTTGACGTGTACAGGGCACTGGTTATTACTGAGTTCTAAGTCAAACTCTTTTAATCGTCTACAGCCCATGGAATCCGAATGTTTTGCCTCAGAACCTAAGTCGTCAAGTCTCCGGGACGTCTTACGCCGCCGGGCGTGCTGTTGGCCACAGACGGCTGCGTTCTCATCCCGAATACATGCACAAGCAGTCAGGCCTCCCAGGGATTTCACATTTAACTGTCGATCCAAATGCTATCCGACCCGCACCTGCTCAACATATTGAACAACCGGCTACTCAGCTTATGCGCACTGTACGAACATCGCCTATGCGCCTCTTCGATCAGGTTCGTGACGGAACACCAAGCAAACGACCTGAGACTACGCGAAGGACACCGAAGACTTCTGTTGACTCCGCTGCGCGACGTAAGCCACATCAAACCCACAGACGAATTGTATCAGCTTCGGCTGCGGTTGCTCCCGTCACAAGCCGAACAAGTCATTCGGCCCGACCGGAAGACCTTTTGAGTCCGTCACGTTCTGAAAGGCCCCCGATTGGTTTACAGTCCAGAGCAGTGAGTCATTTTTCGTTGTGCCGCGTTTCACTGTTCTACAGGATTGCACCGCATGGGCAGGTTAGGTTTTGACACAATGCAGTGAATAACTAGCATGTGCGTACGCCATTTCCAATGTGATCCATTTGTCTTCATGCAAAATCTAACCTGTTGAGGAGAATGTCGGTAGCTCAGGTAGTGTAGATGGTCGTTTCAATCAACCTCCCCAAAGTTGGTTCTTTACTCTAATTTGGGCCGCTGTTCGGTCAGCTTTAATAGAATAGAAGGTGCAGAACTGGGGAGCGTGTGGGTTGGGATCAGCCGAAATGGCACATGTGGCTGTGATCAGGTATCAGGAGGAGTCACCAACACAATTAGCACCAACACAATTGCACCTAATCTCAATAGCCTTCCCTTCCCACCCCTGACTGAATCGTCGGTGCACTTACAAGCCCACGCAGACCAACGAAAGCTATCGGTGGCACCTAGGATGAACCATCAATTGAAGCACCTTGATGTGGAAGACAGCAACCAAACCCGATGAAAAATAATATAAAACTCGCCCAACCCGTGAAGCGCAAGATTTAGGCAACTTCACTAACCGACAAGACCCTTTAATTGACATTCATAACTGCTCTAGTGTGGTCTGGAGTGTGTATTCTGGAGTGGTCTTACTGATTGGTTCTGCCTTGAAACGCGGTCAACTTTGTGTCCTGCTCACGTGACCTGATGAAGTTTTATGTATCCAAAGCGAAACGTTACCCAGTTAAAAACTACTGATTATTTGCCAAGTCCTTCTCAATCGGTTCCAAACATTTTTTCAACTGTGACTTAGTTCACATGTCCTGATTACGCATTTAGTAAACGTTTGTTTAGACTTGCCCAAGGAAGTCTCGTTACATCTATACACACGCAAAGTAACAGGAAGGTGACTGAACTACGGGGCTCTCTAAGCATTAGTTTGGACCAACTGTACCAGTTTTTTCGTCAAACGGTGCCGAACCAACGGTAACTCGTCATATTGATTGTCCACTGATGTTCACATGACATGAGAGCATTACTGCTTTCACACCTTATGTAGGTTTTGCGCAGTAGTTCTAATATAGTGGTTTAGTAGTTTTGTGGGGTATGATGCTTCTGACTTGTTAAAGTGAGACCATCTTTCATGTACCTTTCACTCGTGTATCTTTCACATACCTAGATATGCCGAGGTCTACTTGAAAAATCTATTCTGAAGTGTTCTGACTATTTTTTGCGATACCTTTAAATGGAACCTGCGTTGAGTGTGGTATACGGATGCACAGACACGTTGACTGACCGGAGTTTCTTTTTTTCATCGTGATGTGCAAGTTCACATTAGTTACCCTAGTGACTTTACACTTTCAGTTGCTCGAGAACTTTCTTCAGTTTATGCAGTAATCTCTCAAAAGAGTGAGTGGGAGGTCCTTGAATCTTGTCCATAAATATGTTAACCCGCACTAGGTTTCTTCGGGTGGCCATCGTTTCCGAACGCAAACTAAAACGTGTTTTGTGTTTTTTTTTAACAGCTGCCACTGTTAAATCGCCTTCATGGACCAGTTTCCTATGAGTCTGGCCTCAAGCCGCGTACCTGTTCAAGAAGACCCGAGCGAAAATTTTCCTTCCAGTCGGGCAACGAACACGGTACTTACGATACTTCTGGCAGACTGGATTCAGCGCCTGCTCTTTTGGGACCAGGACACACTCGTTTCGACGATCGTACACTGGTCCAAGCATCCAGTATTGAAAGTGATTCTAACGACAGCGATTCTGGGAGTTTGCACAAAAACTTCGATGAAGACGACCGTGGAGAGGATGCAGACTGGGATAGTTGTGAAGACGAGGGTGAAGATGAAGAGGATGATGATGCCAACCCAGGTGCATCATCTGGCTCGCGTCTGAATCCATTAGAGTTGTTAAATCGAGCAATGGAATTTGGAGCATGCTCAGTGGTCCGACATTACCGGCGTTCATTTCTAAATCAGCAGCCGATTACACGAAGTCGGGATCAGACTGATAATGGCTCCACTGGTGATATTCCTGCCGCTCTTGTAAGTCACAACAACGTAATGTAAATACCTCACTGCCAAAGCAACTTCTGTAGATTCTTCGGAAAATGGTAGCCCCCATCTCAGTGAGATTCCCATCGAACAGCTTTATCGTTTGCCCGTATAGGAAATCGCGGGAATTTTGATGATTATAAATGGTCAGTTTATCCTCGTATCAAAGCACGACAACTAAAAATGGAAGTTTGGGCTGTCCCATTTCAGTTAAGCGTTTCTTTGAATCCCTCTCTAATTATCAGCGTCACTCTCGTGTTTGATTCATCAGGCATGAATCTCGTGAACAACGATCACTCCTCGTTTGTACAATTTTCTGTCGGCATAAACATATTATGGTTGAGTCACTTGTCAGAAATAACCACTCGTCCACCATAGTATAAATGAGAAAAATCAAATCGCCCAGCTGTTAAATGGCTGGCATGCCAACTGGAGGAACCCCGGTGAGTGTCGATTTGTGGTCAAGCCTAATGAAAAGCAACGGAAAGTGGGGAGGGATTCGAATCATAAATAGCTTCCTGCATCATACCCTGAGCTATTTTGAGTAGGAGGTATCTCATACTTCAGGACCGATAGTAACGTAATGGCGAGTCATACTTAGTTGTCTACCAGAAAGTATAGTTTTCATGGCGTGTCGTTGCAAGGACAGTACTCCTTACTGGACTTGATTTCACTAGCCAACGACAGGTTGAAATTCAAAACATTTTCCGTTTGACTTTGGATGACACACTATGGTGTCTTTATGTTTTCTGCGCTTGTAACTCGGTGCTGGTGTCACTGGTAGACGACGTTCCCGTGGGTATAACAAATTTATTGGCTTTGAAAATTGCTACTTTGGCATTTCGGATTGCGTTAACCTCGGTGGACTCTAGTGGTCTCCTTTATCTCTGTTTGAAACAATATTATTGCTCAATACTCCCCGATGTTTCGAGATCTTGGTACCCTGCGATTGATATTTGTCTTCGCCCTTCAAAGAGGCTCATTTTTTGCCCATCTTCCTAGTTGACCATATTCTCGCGGCAGTTTGCTGACATTCACTCTCACGAGCACACAGCTTGTATTACCGAATCTGGACCCTTGCAGCCAACTAACTGCCACCTGCTCAGCCATCTGAGCTTCATGTTTTTTTTATGTCCGATTATTTTGCAGTGTCCATTGGATGAAGCTCAGTTTCTCCAGGGTGACATTCCAAAGCTAGCTTCTACCAACCAGTCGAGACCTGTTTCTTTGCAGCACTTCAACCAGCCCAGCTACCTTGCACTACCAGACGGCAGATTACGACCCCATAGATCAGAGCCTGTCAATACGACTCAAGGTGAACAGCAGAGCGGAGTGGCTACATCAAACCAAAGTAATCGTGGGTGGCTGTCACGCAGGTTAAAAACCCGCCCCCAGTTGAGCTCGCTCGCTTCAGTTGATGACGAAGATGACAATTCTGAGTCGATATTTCATTTTGGTATGGGGTTGGCTAGCTCTTCGGAGGATGTCACAGCCAATCAATCCCTTCTTCCCAAGCCGAGCACCAAGGAACCTATTCAGAAGGTTACTGCTCCTAGTTCTAGTTCCGCACAACCAACTAGTTCGCGCCAGCGTCGCTTCAGACTACCGAAGGGGCGAGTCGAAGTTGGGTCGCCAAAGTCGTTGAAAATTTCCGAAGCTCCCGAAGCGTTAGATGTCAACGCAGATAGTGTGATCAAATATGGTCCAGTTCGATGGGCACAACAAAGACGTGGTGCTGGTAAACCTGCTGTGCTTTCCTTCACGCGATCCTCTTCGAGGAGTTTGGATAATATTCATAGTGAAGATCAACTGGTGGACGACTCAAATACGCCTATTGCGCAACAGCGTAAGTATCTGATCGCAGTCCGTTTATATTTTTCTGTATGGGTTTCACATGGCTTTTCTGCTTGTCTGATGTTTCGCTGTATTCCACTACACACGCACTGCGCCCCTTGTTAGTGGACTATTCCAGTGTGTTAGTCATTTCTTCATATCACACGTAACTTGTGAATTTCGTCATCGCACATGGAATTACACACTCAGAGCTAACGGTTCATGACCCAGTAACATGAACAAAGTGCGTTTGTTGGTGACTGCAGGACTTATCACCGGAGCTTCACGTAACAATACACATAAGCATATGCCTTTCATCTCCGAATTTGTTACTCGAGGACGAGATGGCCCAAGTGGTTGGAGCGCGAGTTTACTGACCGGAAGGTCCATGGTTCGAATCCGACCTCTGCCTCTCGACTTCACCTGTCTAGGCTTGGGCAACCTGGCAGTATCCCAGCCCTCGTGCTTTCCTCGGGTGGCATGACAGCCAGGCACCAGAAGGGTGTTACAGCTGGACGATTTATTTATCTATTATTATTTTACTCGAGGAGCCAGTCAACAAGTGTGACTACGTGGTGTGGATCCCGTAGTTGAAAGATGAGCGGCGCTGTAACCTGTCCAAATGCGAGTTAATTACCCTGTTCCTCATGCGCTCATGGTTGAACGGTTGAGTGTTCATACTGCTAGCCAGGATGTTGCTGGTTCGTAAACTGTGAACTGCTGATGATTCCAACTAAAGATGAAGCACATGTGGAGTGCCTCTCGGCTTTTCAGCATACTGCTTCCTCCGATGAGTTTTACTCCATAAACTGACGTGTTTATCAGGCATTGACCTCCCTGGGACACTAATGTCTCCATATTAATCTTTTTTTTACAGGAGAGGAAGGTTGCTGGAGCAAATTCAAAGCGTCTTGTCTGGTCACCTATTTGTTCCTACTGAGTTCGGTCGATAGCCTCATCTACCTTTTGAACGGCCTTACCAAGCATTACCGAAACATCCGACGCAGGATAGAGCGTGAGAAACGATGTGTCAAGTTGAACGTTATCAACAATACACAACACCCGGAACAATCACCGTGAGTTTCCTCGTCAGGGGTATTTTCCGCCCAGTGCTGGCTCTTGCTGGACGAATATCCGACCTTAAGAGGTGTAGGAATAGTACACGTCCTCTTGGGGGACTTCACTTTACCAGATAATGTTCCCTCTCTGCTGTTTTTCAGTACTGGCGCTGTGTCAAGTATTTAGAAAAGCTGTCGTATTCAGGCACTGATTTTTTCCGAAGGGGAATAAGTCTGTATTGTTTTTCTTCGCTGGCGCACATCCTATGCAAAGTCACAATTATTCACAAGGTCTTCTTCGCCCTGTACGTCTACTTCGGTCAGACCAGCTCCGTCGCTTTAGTAGTCGCAAACCGGTCTCTTCCAAAATCAAGTAATCCTTTTTCTCTGTATCCAGGCGCCAGTTCTTTAAAGAACTACAGCTGGCACAGAATGTCACAGCTGTTGATTCTGATCCTGTCTATTCGGATCACACAGTTACCGGTTACCATTCGTCGGCCGTGCTAGCTGATAGTATGACACTGTGTGTCACCTATTGCCAATTTCAGCAACAACAACCTAGCTGCATCGGTCTCGTCCGATAACTTGAAACGCCTACATGCGGTTACATAGGCACATGGATTCAGCCACGTAGACGAAGTGTGCGCGAAAATGCCTTGTACGGACTTCACAGTTAGCAAACCCTTTTACAAGATTATAGTCTATAAACAGAACAAGTTCGGTTTAATTTCTGCCATAAACGGACCTCCAATATAGAACATTCAGAATTGGTTTTCTGTAAAAGGGTATGATTTTAAACTTGTACAGTTTTGTCTTCCTTTCGGGAGATCACTTCGGATGGCTGGTCAAAGCATTTTCTTCTTGGTGGGTTTTTGGTGCTGAAGTGCCTTTGGCAGGGTAGTTAGTGCTCTTCTTTGAGGATTGTCTCGTTAGAGGTGGTTACCTAAAATCGTACGATATTTGATCTAATAGCTGCAAATCGTCGTAACCTAAAATCAAATTGTCTCTTGATGGTACCGTGTCGTTCCCATCAGTGCCGTCATCTGTCGTGTAATATATACTCGAAACAGCTTCGGACAGCTGTGATCGTGGACAATAAAGCGAGGTTAGTTGGGATCAAAGTGCGCAGAAAATTAGACCCTAAACGGGAGTAGCTAATGTAGATGGCGTTTCGAAAACGCTGGCTTCCAAACGAGAGTTTCCCGACTTTTCATGGTTTCCGCGGACGATACAGGGGGTCTTCAGGATGGTGTTTTATTACACTCAGTGCAGTGTGGTAGGCTCGCTTCCTTAACACACTGGCTTCGGTTTATCATTGTGCTTTTGTCACTATTTTGGTACATACACCGGTGTTTGCTTGTATAGTTGGTGAAGTGTGTTCCTCCAAGAGAATCTGCTTCCCAGCAGGGGACAGTTGGGTCGTTTCCCGTGGATGATCTTTGTTTCGGAGCATGACTGTGTACGTGTGGGCATGTAGTGGTCCTTTCAGAGAACCATCTTTATTCCACTGAGGGACTAACTATAGCCCTAGTCTTGAATGACTATCGAACTGTCACGGAATCCTACAGCTAATTTTCGAAAAAAATGTACTATGAATTTATTTTATTCTGTTTGAAGTGAAGTTCACCATTAATTTGCAACGAACGTTGAATGCTGCCTTGCATTGTCCGTGTGCGTAATCCGACAGTAGGATGACTGATTTCCCCACCAAATTCGTGTAAACTAATGACCCCAATGGTCCAACCTGGGCGAGGTCAGTTAAAGGCGTTGCCACCCTGTTTTTCAGAATAAGCTAAACTCATTCATCATTGGTTTAGCGAGGTTATTTTTAGCTCATACAGCAGAAAAGTCAAACAGGATCCTTCTGCACTTAACTCTGTGCAAAGTTTCATTCCTGTGTGAAATCTTACAGCTTTGAATGGCACTTGGGGCAGAATATCCAACCTTCCAGTAGACTTTTCGTCCTACATTTGAGGCCCATCTCTGTCGAAAAGCCTATAACCACTGTTCAATCTTTGCTGGGAGTCGTAAGCAACCCGCACTTAAACGCCACAGAGCGCCACTCGTCTTTGGATCACGTTGAACAACTCCTGTAATGGAAAATACCGCGGCTAAAAGTTCATACGTTGCATGAACTCTTATTGTCCGATTCAAGGGTGCGTCCACATTGAATCAATGGGCCGTTTTTCAGTTAAATGTAAATCGGGCGCGTTGGGGGCTTTTTGGACTGGTTCTATCAGGTCACCGAGATTAACCGTCAGTTAATCTCTTGGGGTACGTGGTTCTGAAAATAATTCATCCAGCTCACTATTATTTGCATGATATCCACTACTCTGTTGAACGGCGTTTTTCCCAATGTCCCCGTATGTAGTTTGCATGACTTTCTACGAAGTTTGCGGCAGGAGCTTCAAGTGAATGGGAGTTTCGATACCCAGTGCTGCGTTCCTATTTCAACTGGCCTGTCAAAATGTTTTGCGAGACGTTTAAGAATGCCGCAAGCTACAGCCGAATACCATGATCTGCATTTTAACGAACGCCTAGATCATGTACTGGTCGACGCCTTTACTCGTGAAGCTGTACCGATCGACAGAACAGCTGGCCAACCCACCTCGATTTCTGTCACGATAAACCGTTCGCTAATGCACAAGCGTCGTTCTGATTCGATTGTTCGATCTATCACGGAAGATCAAATTTATCCGTATGTCTCCGTTAGTTGACGTTCAGTTCTGCTCCACGGAAACTACTACATTCCTCCTATTGAGCCAACTATGCCTGCTTCTTTTTTTCCCTAAAGCTTGGATATTGAAGTGGCCGTATTCAATGTCGTTTCCAAATCACCGGAGCACGTTTCAGGTGGTGTTCCATTCCTCGATCCTCAAATCTCCGATCGCTGCCGTGCCGCTTTAGGCCCAGGCCAGTCTATTGAACATCTGGACGCCCTAGATCGCCATCAACAACGTGAGAAGGCATTCCGACAATCCCGTTCACGTCCATTCCTCCTGCTGATTGCACTTGGCAATATGGCAATTGTCTACTCTGAATGGTTCTGTTATTTATTACTGGTAGTAAATCATATGCGCAGTTCCAATATTCTATCGTTGGTTTACCCTCTTGTGGTGTTTCTCTGGGGCATGCTTTCCGTACCAAGACCCACGAAAACATTTTGGATCTTTCTTATCACCTACACTGAAGTAAGTCACCCTTTCACTTTTGAAGCGTTCTTTTCTCTAGTTTCATTTCTCGACAATACATGCTAGTCGCCAACTCCCATTTTTCTCACACATCCTTCCCGTTCTCTTCCCATTGCTAGGTCGTCATTGTAATAAAATACATATTTCAGTTCCGCTTTATAACTTTCAACGACCCATCGCTAAAGCCTGCGGATTCGGCTGAAGCCCTATGGATCCCGCGGTTGCTTGGTGTGGAAAAAAGCGGCCACTATGCCATATTCGACCTCGTCCAATTAATCAGTCTTTTCCTTCATCGTGGTTTTTTGAAAAATGACGGATTATGGAGAGATCATACGGAATTCGTACAAGATTTACAACTCGTTGCTGAACGGAACAAAGTGGCTGAGGTTAGTAATGTATGCCCCAGCGTCCTGTTTGCTGTCTAGCCAGCGGGAGACTGGCCAATTGTTTGGAATTTTTTGTTATTTTGCTGTCCCATTTTTTTTCTAGTTACTGATTGTCATTAGGAACTTCACGCCTTATGGAAGATGTCAATTTGCCGGATTTTATGTAAGTGAGAGACAGCGTTACTTCTCAAATCTTTCGTTTTTAGAACGGCTCAGGCTGACCGTACACACCCACTAGCGCTATGTAGGATAAGTGGCGCAGATTTTCTAGCTAGAGAGCTACAGCGTGGACATTTGTGCCCTACGAATATGAGTGTGTTCTTGCTTATCGGTACTGCGAGTTGCCAGTCTATCTGGAAAAGGCACAGTTGCACTTGACTGCATAACCGTTGATAGACCTTTTTCGTACGAACTGGACGACAATCGGCATGGGACTCAAAGTGCACTAGAAAAGTATAAAAAAAACGCTTCAACTATAGAAACCCTTCGGTGCTCAACTACCATGCTACTCGGACAAAGTATGAGGTACTGAGCTCCAAAGTGCACGAGACAGTGAGATCGATCGCTTATCCCGTTGGTTAATGGGCAGTCTTTAGAAAATACTTATTTGAATCCAACGGTTGTCCACCATGGTGCTATTTTGTTTCCTTTTGCACTACTGTTTCTTCGCTTTCAGTCACATTAACTCTGCCGCTGGTACAGTTGACAGAACTTGCAAAACCTGGCCAGCTTTTTTGACCTCGGATCTCTTTAGGGTTTTGTATTTTGCTGTGTCAACCGATGGAAACGTTTACCATGGATTTGAAAGACGGGCAGAAACTGACTTTCTAGGTGGCTTTATAGCACCGTGATATCAGTTCACGGCCTCATTCGTTTTGATTTTTATGTGTCGACCCTGGGTTGTTCTGGATGACGCTTCTTATATCAAGCGTACAATGTACGTTGAATCACCCACGGTTCGGGATTCCTCACTCCAGTTTGCCAATATTCGACTGTTTCTCGCTGGGTTACTGCTTTCTATGTTTTAAAAAAATTTTCAAGCGGGACTTTCTGTGGTAATGAGCTCTCAGTGCTTTGTTTGCGTTTTGTTCTTTGTTCACAGAGAGTGCAGAACGGTGAACGAGTTGGTCCTGATTTCCTCCGATTGTAAGTTCATCTATTTTGGCTTGTCGGATACGTGTTAACATTTCATTAGACCGATTTAGAACCTCCCTTCGAACCGAATCGAGTTAGGAGTTGTACCTCTGTATCGTGTTTTATCGCACTGCTAAACGTGCGCAGTTACTTTGAGTTCTACGTTTAATACCTAGTCATCAGTTGCTATGAATCATCTACCTAGTGGTTTCGGCTCCCCTTATCGTGTAACTAGTTCTTGGAAAAGTACTGTATAAACTAAACTGCAGCTGCACAACAGCTGAAGCTACCTAGATCCCCCAAGAGGCCAGCATGAAGGATTGAAATCTGTCTGGTTACCGATGGTCTTTCATCAACAGCTATCATGTCCCCCTTTAATTTCGTGAAGTCAGTGGCCTGAGGCAGGTTGCGTTGATCATGAACGTAGAGCTCCAAGTACATGTAGCCTGAATGAAAGACGACCCCTTAATAAAGACTGAAATCAGCGCTCTCTTGCTTTCTTAACGGATTCCCTACTAACAAAGCTGGCTAGAACAGTGCTCTCCGTCATGCTTATGAAAAGCTGATTCGCAACACCTCTGCTGATAAACTGGCACTGAATTCCAACGTCCCTTTTCACCGCTCCCATTTTTGGGTAGAACACGCCTGACCGTGAGTCATGCAATTTTTTTTGTGACGGCATACAGGCGTTAATCCGTTTCCATGCAGACGAGCAAACCATATCTTTGGACTGTATGAAAATACTGTATGTTTCGTTTGCCTATACACATTCTATATCACCTTACAAACATTGCTATTTTGTTATTTCGAGTACGTAACCGCTTACACAGCTCCGGTAGACTGACATTTTACCGGGACCCGAATGTGAAGGACTTCGTCCCGGAATAACAGGATTGAATTCCACGTCTTCTCCCTCCGCTCGCTTCTTCCGGTGCTCCTTCATTTGAGCGTACCACATTCCATTTTTACTGCACTTTTTTTCAGACTTTCAACCGAATCTGCAGCAAGTCAGATGACCGAACGTCACAATGTGGACGCTGTCACTTCCGGTCGGCTTACTGTCTCTCGACGCGACACACTCCATACGTGGAATCCGTTTGCCAAGCTGCGTCGTTTCTATCACAAAATGACTGATCCGCAGTTCAACAAGAAGGTTGATGTATATATCTATATGTTCCTGTGCGAATTCATCTCGTTCTGGATAATAATGTTTGGCTACGTTTCTTTCGGTCCCAGTGTAAGTCTCGGGATGAATTCAGTTCTCCTTACTCTCAGAATCTCTTTTTAATTTAATTGATGAACCGTTTGTTTCACCATCATCATAATCACAGTTAACAACTTCGCAGTTGTTAGGGCCTGTACTCGACTGCCATGACATGAAGCCCGTCCCTTTCGAAAAGGAAAAAAATCGGAAGGGTAGTCAATTTCTCTACAGGACAACCAAACGCTCTGTTCTAAAGCATTCGTACGGTGTCAAAATATGACAACATGACTTCGGAGCAAACCCCACTACCAGAGGAGCATTTTCACAGGTTTTCACCGGCACACCGTGAGCCTTTCATCAAAAGTTCATACTATCAGGGGCTCGTTTCACCGAGCCGGCCAGTGCTGTGTGCATGAGCTATCCGGACCACATGCAGTCCAAAGTCGTGGTCTTATTCCCATCAGTGATTTTCGTGGTCGGTGCTTCTTGTTCCTCTACATATTGGCACCGAATAAAAAATTGGGTTTCTGATCAGCGAGTTTCCATCATGGAGTACCGTCCGATACCTACCAGTGACAATAATTTGGGTAACATTCAGCTGTCCGCACCTCGGCAACAGTGCATATTGTTTGTATAACACCGTGTTACGTCCAAGCTGCTTTTCAGTGTTTACGTAATCTCCGGTCTCTACTCACAGTCATCTTCAATGCTTACTCCCTCTTGGTGATTTTCAGACTGGCATGGGAGATAATGCATTCGAGTTTATCAGGTCCAACCGGGTGAGTTGCTTTTGAAGTAGCTAGTTCATTGTGTGGTTAGTTCACTGTTTAAGAGAGTGTGGTTGCCAATTTTATTCATAATCCCGTGATCGACCACAGATTCTCCATTTGCTTGAGCTAGTTACTTTGTGATTTTTACCATAGTCATCGATGATACCGTTCTCTGTTACAGGTACCTTTTCCATTCGTATGTATGCTGTTAGTCCAGTTCATCTTCATTATCGTCGACCGGGGACTGTTCCTTCGCAAACAAGTTTTGGGAAAGTTCATCTTCCAGATCCTTCACGTTCTGCTCATTCACGGTTGGCTATTCTTTATCCTGCCTCAGATTACAAAATCGTACGTATAATTTTGTACTTCGCTCTTCACTTTTGTCGTAGGATACGTGACCCTATATTGAAACACTTTCCTTTTCATTACCGGATGTGCAGGCGACAGCTTTCACCATCTCTTGATCAGATCCGTAAACTGTCTAGCCCCACTCTATATTTGTTTACAGTGACCTTATCACAGTAAATTTCAATATCGATAGCTGTGTGAAATTAATAGATATCCGTCACACGTCATCGTATGCATCTGCTTTAAAAGTTGACGGCGATCATTTTTCATTCACATGACTATCGGGGGCAAAAACTGAGTCTATGTAGCCATTCTAGTTCTAGTCCATCGGAAAGTCATTGTTTGGTCATCTTATTTTTCGAAAGTCCATCGTCTGGACAAGAACACATTTCATGTCCTTCGTCATCGCTCGGGGAAGTCCCGACACGTTTAATAGTCCCTCATTAGGGAGCATTTTCGTGGCATAGCTTCGTGTGTGCTTGATGGGTCCCTTCTTAGAGAGGTTGTTTAGTAAGAACACCCTTCACTGATATCCACACTTGGGAAACTGGAATTTAGTTGCCTGCTAGTGCTATCAGTATATGATATGGGCTAGAGCAAATGTCCTAGATACTGAATATCTGCACACGTCCGTACACCAGTCCTTCTGTGCGATGGTCGTCTGTGCTAATACATGGTCTTCAGCCGGTTCTAATAGTTGTATAGACATTCGTACATATCTACCACATATGGTGGTTGATCAATGTTAACAACAAACGCATAGGTACCCAGAAGGGAATTGTTCTTTATCAAACTAATTATGTATCAACAGTGTATCCCGTGGGATCATATGTTACCCTTCTTGCAGTTGCCTTCCGGTCCATACTACTCTAGGCGCAAGACCTAACGCTTCGCATTGACCCTTTCTCTCTACATGCTGACCAAGCAATTGTCTAGTCAATTTTTTCACTATTGTCTATCATATTTACTTCACCGCTGTCATCCACTTATACCCAACAGACCGTTCACGGCAGGCTTCGCACCACAGTTGTTGTACCTCATCAAGTGTGTCTACTTCTCACTGTCCGCCTATCAGATCCGTAGTGGTTATCCGCTCCGGATTTTGGGGAACTTTTTGACAAAGAAGTACAACTATATCAACCTTATTCTGTTCAAAGGGTAAGCGTTTATTTATCAGGATGTCATGTTGACTTTATGTAGACTGAACATCAAATTTCCACTTTCAGGTCAGATACTGCACCAACTCAGTTAGTAGGATTCTTGAGGTTAACTGTTGATCGGAAAGGTCACCGATTTCTTGGTTGCTTCCCTCCTGGCCTTTGGCCATCTGGAGTTGAATTGTCCTTCAGAAAGAAGCTATTTTGCTTAGTCAGCTTCATGGTCCAGCCGGGGCTTCACACTTGCAAGGCGTTTCTCCGAGGATTGGAAAAACGATTCACGTTGTTTTCCAAGTCTGCCTGAGCATGGACAGAATAATTCCTGCAATTGAATTTCTCACTCCTATGTAGCCGTCTTGGCATACCTGTGAAAGTCTGTATTCCCCAGACTGCATTGTGACCCGTATGGATTGCTGGATCACAACATAGACCATTAGGGCCGTTTTCCAACGTCCTACCATTTGGGTTTCGTATATATTGCCCTGTTCCGGTAGGATCAGTGAGACTGAACTCCGTAGTAAATATTCTAACATGATTTACTGATTTTGCATTCTAGAGACTCGTTGGCATCACAAGACACGCTTCTGCTAGCCATACGGAAGAGCTAAGCGACTGAAGTAGCAACCATGCATAGGGGCAGTTCATAGAGTTGCTTACTCTCTCCCTGCTGTTTTTGTAGCCAACTATTGGTGTCATAAGGTCCACTTCAAATGCAAGCCACAATAATTCGCCGTTTTCTCTTTCAATTTGCGGTTGTCCACTAATTTCCCCTTTTCGTTATCAAAGCAGACTGAATTGCGTGAGTCCATTAGTTGTCCTCTGTCGGACCCCATAACTGAACGATGTGGTGCAGCCACTTAATTCTTAAAAGACGATTCACGTTCTGCCTCATCCGTCTCGGTGCTCTACTTTATTTGGGTCAAACTGGGTATATTTCCCCTTTATATTCGCAGTTCATAATGCTTTTAACATCAGAATAAATTCGGTGACAGCTCCTTTTCGCCTACACAGACGAGGTTTCCTACGGAATTTATCATAGTTCTCTCGGTTCAGCGGAGTTTGGTTTAGTTTAAAGGATCACGTGTGTACAATTGAACTTTTCTGTTGGTGATTAAGGTGTTCGGAATGATTTCACTGGCAGCAATAGACGAGTACTGTCCACCAGCCACCTCAGCTTTAATATATGTCAAGCACCAACAAGTATGCTCTTGTTGTCTTCAGCGGAAATGCTAACGCTCACTGCAATTTGACCATTCCCTGCGTAATGCTTAGCGCACTCAAGAAGCCAGTTCGTACATATTCATCATGATTTGTAATACTGATGTCTTTTCGCCAGCCTCACGCTCGTCAGAAACCATGTTAGATTACTCCTCCACCTGTGTTTCAGCTACCTGATCATACCGTTCCTCTACGAATTGAGGAATATTATGGATTGGATGTGGACCAACAGCACGCTCTCGCTATACCACTGGATGGAACTGGAGGATGTCTATGCAAAGATATTTGTACATAAATGTTGGCGCCGGTCCGAAATCGCTTATCCCACACCCCGGGGTGTCAATCGACCAGCTGGGAAAAAAGCCCTTGTCGGCGGACTGATACTAGCCTTCTTCTTCGCCTGTTTATGGATCCCCTTGGCTCTGTCTTCATTCATCGGTGCCACTTTTGTCTTTAACCCACCGGTTTTGTGCACGTTCAGTTTATCCATTGGAGGATTTCCTGTAAGTTTGGTTTTCGGTAGAAATTGCATATAGTCTGCCAAGTACTTGAGTATACAAGAATGGTTGTTGCTGTGTCTATTTCTGCTACTCGAAGTCCTTCATCTACCTCATCCCATCATACAACGGTCCTTGAAGCAAATACAAATGGGTCAGTCATCTGCCGCGACCAATCCTTCCAACCTTGAGGTACATACACGATCCACCTCCCCCATGAATACAACTCTGTCCATAATCTTAGTGGGGTCGGGGGAAGGAATACGTGAAAATATGGGGAAATTCATTTTTACCCCTCCCCCGCTCTACTGTATGTAGCTATTAGAACGAATTAACGGATGGCGTCACCTGACATCTGATCTGGTATGGCAGGACTTTTAGTTGTGAGGATTCTGACAAAGATCAATTTGTTCTCCACGAGTCCCGGATCATGTCAGAGGAACAATAATCAATAAGTAATCGATTAGGTCACGTGCAAATACTTCTCTTTTGTAGGATAAAATTCTTGGTTCCTGGATCGGTCATCGTAAGGTTGACCGGGAATGAGGCGGTAGGTAGCGTCTTGGTATTTCAGCTCGTGGAGACAGTGCTCACACCAGCTGCTAACAGCTTCATTTGGTGCTATTTGGCACTGCAGATTTCCTTCAGGTACAAAGTAAATGCAATCGTTTACTCATCACTAGTGTTTTTTCAATTAACGAGAAGCTTAGAAATGGTCATGAAATTGGTCTACAAAGAGAGTAAAAGAGGTGGCATCGGGGGATATCGCTGTTGGTTCGCGGTGGAGAGTTGCGGCGGCCGCTCCAACTTGCTAGTAATGTGTGGTTTGTGAAGTAGGCTTCAGTTGGCTTGGCTTCGGCTATGTTCAATTCCTGAAGCAGTGGAAAGCTGTTGTAAGTATGCACGCTCCCGAATACATTACTATAGCCAGTAAACAACAGAAGTGCAGTAATGGTAGAATAATATCCAACGGTAAAGTGATGAATGAACTGATGTTGGGTTGTCTTGCTAAGGAGGTTGTTTTTATACTGTGTCATGGCTTCGGGAAACGTTTACGTCACATAGACCTCAAAACAATAACGTATTCGTTTGATGTCATGTTACCGATTAGTGACAATTTCTGTTTTATTCCCGTCCAGCCTGTTTTCGAGTTCACTTCACGTGAAGGGAACATCCTCAAGATCCGGCAACAAGACTTGGACAGTTTTACCCGATGTCATGAAAAGGATTTGGTATGTGCCCTCCCGGAGTCGCTGATTTATTTTTTTACTATCTCCTAGAATGCCCACCATGGTTCGTTGACGGGACACTGTTTAAGTCAACTGTGTTGTGTATATGTGCGTTTGTATGATAAGCCGCTGTACGATGGAGCGCCGCTATAATGAACTGTCCGTTCAAACGGACTGCTTTCGAACCATAGGTTTACAATGAAAGATTATGCCCAGAGTGGGCGCTAAACAAATGGGGCCTTTACCCTAGATTTTAGAACCGTTTGGCATTGCCGTGGTTCCAACGCGAAATATATGGTTTGCCTAGAGAATTGATTGGCTTCACTGAGTGCACACGCAAATGTGGGGCCTAGGCCGGGGCAATGGAGAGCCGATTTTTATGTATTCGGATCAAGATCACACCATAGATGATTCGTATCGATAGTTGTAATTAATCTGTTCTCTAGAATGCAAATGCTTTTTTGTGAATCCATCATGCTTGTGAATGTTTCCAATCCGTTTGGCTTTTGGCCTCTCCTCAAAATAGGAGTTATCCTCCTTTGTGTGAACCTGGATGCCCCCATCACAAATGACACAATCCTTCTGGCTCACATTTGTTAATTGGTTGGCGAAGCACCTTGCGCGCATTGATGCTGCTTCTGTGCTCCAAAATCCTATTTTCCTTGTTTCGAAGATCACAAGGTGAACCAACTGACAAACCATCATCGTTTGTGGTATACCAACGTTACTGCCTAGTTTTCCGGGGCCTTGACAAATGAGGTCGGCGGTTGAGTAATTTCCGGTGCTTGACCGAATATCAACGTTAGAAATGTCCAACTGTGCCAAGCTGTGATCGCCGCCAGCATGTAGACATTACAGATCCACGCAGATCATCAAGGCACATGTGAAAAAATATAATAAAATCGTGTTTGTTAGTACCCGACTGTTTTATCATACCAATTGCTAACGGTAGTTGATTAAGTAGCTGTTGGACTGTTCGCCCAGCATGGAAAATGGATTGCAAACGTTTCGTGCTGCTCCTCGTATAGTGACGAAACTCTTTCAAGCCAGTTACCAAGCTAGCCGAACAGATCATCAACCAATAAACTCACCCGAGCTACCAATATTTCAACACACTACCACCAGTTGCTATTCTTCTGAGGTAGCCATGTTTCATGTTGGCTGAGGGATGGTTCACGGTTGACAGATGTGTGTTGCTGTGTAAACGATACCCTGTCTACTGATAGTATTGTTGGAACTATCCCGAATTTACATGTTTTTTTTTGTTGATGTCCATTCGGTACATCGTTGTCACACCAGTGATTGAAATCACGAACACCACTTCACTATCACTTCACTGAAGCGCAGATTGGAGCGCTTTTCTGTAAATGTTTAACAGTTGTTGTGGTCACAGCTAGATGAAATGTGCCTCATGTAGCCAGTGCTATAACAGACTGCTTATGTCAGTCAAAACTAGTCGGCGATCCACTAGGACTGATAGTAGACGCTGTTCTTATGTGTATTATGTTACATCGAATAAGAAATCTTCGGCGTTGATTTAAGTGAAAACCGAGGTTTTCTTTGTGGTATCCCTTCGTTTCAATTCGACAAAGATTTTCCTAATACTTTCAAGAGTGATTAGGTGGGGACGGAAGATCCAACCAACAGCCCTTGTGTGAATCGGTTACAATCATGAAACGACCAGTAAATACTCAAAAGTCACCCTAATGCGTACAAAGTCGTTGACGTGTGAATAAGGATAATCATGGAGGTGTGAAGAGATAAACGCTATTCCTGGTCTTAAAAACTTTAGGGTCATACAAGTTAAAACAAATGAAGGCAAATCTCGATGGCGGACATTCTTGTGGAAGCTGAGGAATAAAACGGAAGTGACTGCGGGACGTAAGCACGTCATTCTGAATGAACGGTTATTGGAGTGGGACGGAAGAGGTGTGTTCAATTGGCATTCACCGCGTTCGATAAAACAAAGTGGAGACAATGTGTTGGAGTATTGGTAGCTCATTCGTTGTACCCTCTGGCAGTTTATCTGTTCACCGATCGTGGAAATCGAACTGAAGACGTTTCCTCACCATTCGGGGAGGCATCATTAGCATTGATTGCAAACGTTTCGTGCTGCTCCTCGTATAGTGACGAAACTCTTTCAAGCCAGTTACCAAGCTAGCCGAACAGATCATCAACCAATAAACTCACCCGAGCTACCAATATTTCAACACACTACCACCAGTTGCTATTCTTCTGAGGTAGCCATGTTTCATGTTGGCTGAGGGATGGTTCACGGTTGACAGATGTGTGTTGCTGTGTAAACGATACCCTGTCTACTGATAGTATTGTTGGAACTATCCCGAATTTACATGTTTTTTTTGTTGATGTCCATTCGGTACATCGTTGTCACACCAGTGATTGAAATCACGAACACCACTTCACTATCACTTCACTGAAGCGCAGATTGGAGCGCTTTTCTGTAAATGTTTAACAGTTGTTGTGGTCACAGCTAGATGAAATGTGCCTCATGTAGCCAGTGCTATAACAGACTGCTTATGTCAGTCAAAACTAGTCGGCGATCCACTAGGACTGATAGTAGACGCTGTTCTTATGTGTATTATGTTACATCGAATAAGAAATCTTCGGCGTTGATTTAAGTGAAAACCGAGGTTTTCTTTGTGGTATCCCTTCGTTTCAATTCGACAAAGATTTTCCTAATACTTTCAAGAGTGATTAGGTGGGGACGGAAGATCCAACCAACAGCCCTTGTGTGAATCGGTTACAATCATGAAACGACCAGTAAATACTCAAAAGTCACCCTAATGCGTACAAAGTCGTTGACGTGTGAATAAGGATAATCATGGAGGTGTGAAGAGATAAACGCTATTCCTGGTCTTAAAAACTTTAGGGTCATACAAGTTAAAACAAATGAAGGCAAATCTCGATGGCGGACATTCTTGTGGAAGCTGAGGAATAAAACGGAAGTGACTGCGGGACGTAAGCACGTCATTCTGAATGAACGGTTATTGGAGTGGGACGGAAGAGGTGTGTTCAATTGGCATTCACCGCGTTCGATAAAACAAAGTGGAGACAATGTGTTGGAGTATTGGTAGCTCATTCGTTGTACCCTCTGGCAGTTTATCTGTTCACCGATCGTGGAAATCGAACTGAAGACGTTTCCTCACCATTCGGGGAGGCATCATTAGCATTGATGATAATGTCAACCGCTCACTGATGTTGCCTGCTCAAATGGTGTCGAAACGTCTGCAATTATCAAAATTGTTGAAATCACTCGCTGAATAGGCTTCGGGAGTTAGGAAGGGGCATCGCTCCAGAGCGGACGACAATGTTACTCAGTGTGATGGACCCACAAATTTCGCAGAAGTTGGGAAGAGGAGAGTTTGGAGTTACAAACCACCAAGGCTCCTATGGGTAATACTTTCTTGGATGGCAGTGTGGGCCACCTAGCCCGTGCGCACATGTGCAACGGTGTGCGCAGCGGGATGAAGAGGGGTTGGCATAGCAATAGGCGAGTGAGAGTTACGCTTCAATCTTCTTCTTCGGGATGGACGAAAATCAGCGATGGCCGGATTTCAAAAAAAGTTTTGGCCCCCGATTTACCCCTCACATTTAGAAAACATTCTTCATCCAAAACCATCTATATGGTGAGGTGACTTTTGTGCAGACCTGCAAGTTACCATCGCTCAGTACGACATTTGGGACTTTGCGGGTTGTTATTGTACGTAGCATACTTTGTCTCCAGGACATGCGTTGCCCAGTTTTCGACGTCTAATCCAAATCTGTCCCAGCAAATGTTGTACCCGGCACGTAACGCATTCATCATATTTTGTTGTGCTTAATCAATTCGGCAGCCAGACAAAGAGTTAGTTTTTCGGCAAAAAGCATTCATCCAATTCAAGTGTTGCTCGTCTGATATTCCATTGCTACATGTGAAACGCTTCCGATGTTCAGGTAATCAAGGACAAAGAAATCTTTTGTATGGCGAGCACAGCAATTAGACTTCACGACCGTAGAAGCGTTGCCGTGTTGTAGACCTGCTAATTACGCGTTGTCCAGCTTGAAGGAAAGCTAAACGTAAAAGAAACTACTCACAAGGTTGCTGAAAACTCTTCGACAGCCCACGACCGGTTTCGCCCTTCTTGGGGCTCATCAGCTAGGCGCAGTCCCCGAGTTTCTGTGAACCTTATGTTCTACTTGAACCCAAATCGGACTGTTTTCGAGAAATACACTCATTTGCAAGTCAATTTGGTTTTCACGGGAGACTCAACTGAATCTCTCGTTTATGATATTCTACAACGTTTTTTCTAAACGGGCTTTACCGGTTCTAGAGATGTAGCAGTCCAAGTCCTCGCAATGGCTCCTGATTGTGATACCATGATGATTTTAGCTGGTGTAGTCACACAGCCCTGTAGTTCTGGAATAGGCTCATGTACAGTCATTAATCCCGGTTTAACTCCGCAATTCATACGGCATCGTTTTTTCCTATTCTCATTCATGTTCTTCAGCAAACTGTTGGATTTTTGAACAACTTTGAGGTGGACGATTTGCGGTACATCACGATCGATGGGTTCTCTGGGAATATTTGGGCAATCACTCCACCTTCATACGACACGCTCGTTAAGAAATTATCGGACGCATCTTCGGACTTGCTTTTGCACTCGCACATGCAGTGTCGTCGGTAGGTGGTTACAGCACATCGTTTCATATGACATTTGCGTAGTTTCTTCAGATCTCCAGTAATCCGTGAGTCTGTTTGGTTTTAGCACTTCTCCGCCGGTTGGTTTTGACCTTAGGGATTCGATCACTTCAATTTTCCTGCAACATTCGTGGAACCAACATAAGAAAAAAGCAAGCTGTGTAAAGACCCCAATTGTCTATGTTTATCATCATTCATCATGTATAGTGAACTGAAAACTGAAAAACGCGCTACTGAGGTGGCCTAAGGTCGAAAATGGCCCTTGCATTTGTTTGACTTTTTTATGTTTCGTCTCTATAGTCTGCACAAGGCAGTACCGTTTCTTACACCTGACATACCGTTTGCACATAGAACGTTATGTGCCGTTAGGATGATTATATCGCACTTGTCTCAAACGAGTACATCCCTAGGACTATCCAAAACGTCTACAAAATGGAATATGAGTTCAACCGATGTCCTAGTATATTTGGGATCATTTTTCGAATCCCCTTTTGCATTAAAGGCTAATGTCTACTCAACGCAGATACCTCCCTTTCGTTACGACAATCCCTAAGTCGTGGTGGATGTGTCTGGCATTTACCTTTTGACTACCCTTGGGGCGCTGTAATGGTCATTTGACACTCCTTTGTCCAGGGCAGTTGGATTTTTTTAATGTTTCTATTCAGTTCGGAGGTGGTGACTCCCTCTGTTCCAGGGGATCACCATATACCTTTGGAACATGTATTGCATTCACTGTTCATGTGATTTGCAGAAAAACAAAGGAAATTCAAACGAGTCAGATTTCAGTTGAGGACATTTACAGCCGGAAACTTCAACCCTTGGAAAAGATCGAATTATACGGTGTGCTGAACACCACCGCAGTGGGTTCAGCATCCAACAACACTCAGGTAAAACCATCGTCGCGCGTACTTAGTTCATCTCCGGTGACGTTGAACGCAGTTATGCCACGTTATCTGGTACTTAAACGCGACCGTCTTCGTCCTGCATATGCCACGCTGGGCTTGGAAAACACGTATATAAATGTCAGCTTTGTCATACATCGAGATCCGGCGAAGAATCAGTCGTGGTGGGAACTTAAAGAGCGCGCAATCACTTCATCCGATGCCTGTTTTGAAAAGCTCCGGTTTCCTACCTTGGGTGATTCCTGGGCGGATGCCCTCTCCATAATGACCTTCAACGAACGTGTCTCGGATAGTCTTTTTGGAAAATGGTTCTTCACTTACGGGTAAGTGGCCTTGTTGATAAATTTTGGTGTGTCCGAATTACTTCACGTCATTATTCCCCACAGTCTTCACCTTTCCTCTGCTTTCTGTCGTCCTATGTGCTCACGTCAGTTGAACTGTTTTTGATTCCTGCGAATATACACTCATTTGCAAACTAATTTGGTTTTTCGAGAGACTCACCTGGAACCCAGCTGAATCTCTCGTTTGTGATGCTCTCAGGCAACTGAATGTGCTACACCAGGCCGCCTCATGTCAGTCGCTACGATATTCAAGATATCGCGATACATGTATGTCTTCGTAATGTTCTACTCATAAGGTTGCTTTCGACGGATTCTCAGCTACCTTATGAGTAGTACCTTACAAAGACATACACGTTTTTGATTCTGTTTGTGAAGTGTGAAAATCCTACTCAAAGCATCCTTACCAGCAGCACTACTGGTCCTTATGCGGTTCCTTTCTAGGTTTGCTGCTTAGACTTGTGTAATAACGAGATTCTGACCACACTTGACCATGATCTATTGGCCATCTCTGATGTTATCCCCCTAGCACACAGTTAAGCCATCATTGGTCTTTGTGTGATACGGTGAGCAATCGATGCGTTCTGCGGAATACACTCATTTCAAACTGAATTTCAGCTGAATACCTTGTTTATAAAATCCTTAGTCTGAATATGTGATACGAAACCCATCCAGTGTTTCAAGTGTGACTATATTCGGAATATTACAGTGCATTGTCTAGACGCAACACACTACTCAACCTCATGAGTAGTGTGTTGCGTATAGGATATGACGGGCTTTCCATCCCTGTTGATTCATTGGTTTGAACAACTCTTTTCTCCATCTGTTTTTTTCAGCATACTTGGTATGTACGGTGCTTACTTATTCTTGGTCAATCGTCTGTTCAGGACAGTGTACACAAATATATCCTATGTTATTCGATTGGAGGAGCTGCCCCACGTGGACCGAATCTTGAATTTGTGTAACGAAATCTATCTTGTACGGGAAAACAAACTGTTACGATTAGAAGAGCAACTAGTAGCCAAATTGTTTTTCCTCTATCGGTCCTCCGAGACCATGATCAAATGGACCAGACACCCGAAACGAATCATTGACCAGTTCACTGACAGATCAGGTGGAGGCTATCAATTCCCACCGAGCCAGCCACATCCGAGTTTGCCTGAACTCAGAAGTCCGCCTACACTTGAACTACGTGGTCGAACGAGTTCGGTGCAGCATACAGAACCGATTTCCTCGCAACCAATTGTACCGGCGGAAGTGGTAACAACTGCTAGCCGCGCTAGATGGGGCTCACAAGACGATCAAGAGTCTGTCGTTCGTATTAGAAACATGGCGGGGGAGAATTCAAGAACGCAGCAGTAGTTTACTCATCAGTTATGCACGGACATTTTTCATTTTCATCGGAATTCATTTTCTTATCACCCTCTTCGCCTGCTCAGGCTCATTCACGCCTATTTTCTCTCAGTCCTAATTTTATAGGATCACATTCCGGCCTATCCACCAATCAGTTTGTCTATCTGGCTTATCTCGTGCTTTTCGTTGTACATACACATTTTTTCCTGAAATTCCTTTGCATGTGATTCTGCAACTCAAGCAAATCTAGTCTTTGTCGACTTTGTATGATTCTATTTTTTCTCTTCACGACTGATTGCAGGTTTTCGCAGTCCGCAGCCTGTTTGCAATCCTGATTGTTTTTGTTGTCCCTACATTCCCACTCCACCCCTCCTGTCTCTTGATTGACCCTCGTTTTTCGTATTATTTTCCGTTAATTTTAAGTGTGCTCACAGTGGACTTTACATCTAGCATCGATTTGTTGCGTCTTTCACGTTTTTTCCAGTCCTCTCGGACAACACGGTTTTCTTTCATTCACAGAACGCTGTTCCTTCCGTGTTTGGCGCAGTTGGTCACACCTCTATGTAGATCCACCCACCACGAGGCCATTCAAATTCTCCATCGAAAGACGTGTTTGTAAATATATGTGTGTGCACTGCTTTGAGTCGTTCAGTGATCCGTGTTCCCTGGGATCCAGCACCCCTTCGTCTTCGTTGTATTATATCAGAATTGGTTCTCAGCGATTGTTACGTAAACATCCGGAGAAAGGTCCGCTTTGGGATTGAGTACGTTAGAACACGTAGCCAAACTATAAGCCTTGGCTTATTTGTGGTCACGGATTCTGTAAACACCCATAATTCAACTCTCTCGAGCTCATACGAATTGTCCGCACCTTCATAATCTATACATGTTCACCGTGTATGGCGATTTATTCCTGTGGTGTCGCTCTGGTTGCCCCAAAAGGTGCTGTCCTGAAGGCTGAAAACAAGTACCCAGTTGATATGAATTAAGTTGGGCATTAGGTTGTGCTTTATATGTTGTCAGATAGGATGGAGATTATTCCTGGCCATGTGGCTATCAAAGAGCGGACTACCTTGTAACACAGTATACATGCGTAGGTATGCTGCTCCATATGGCCGGGATGACCTAATCGTGTAGTCCCCAACTACGTCTCTGATCTTTCCCAGTAGGAAGCTATTTCCATACGAGTAGGCGGTCTCCTCTGGAAAGCTGGACCAGGAGTCACCTCATGGTTAGCGTCCGTTATTGGCGGTTCCTGATTTATAGATCCTCCGAATGTGATGCGAGTAGAAAGTGGTATTCAAATGGTTAGAATGCAATTTCAGAGGCTACCACCGTTTTCACTCAGGTTGGAATACTGATGGAAGGGAAAGTCGAAATTTGGTGCGTCTTATTATCGACCAGGGCTACCATTCAGGACTGGAGAGGCCATGAGTTGGGAGAAGCGGATTTCTGGTTATCCGGATGCCTTTCTGAGTGAACGACTTCAGTTATGAAGTTCTGTTATCTACGCAAACTGCGTTAGACGACTAAATGATCTTGACGACTACTCGACAGACAAAAGGCGTAGTTTAAAGTGATAGTGCCCTTCCAGTGCTCAGTGACAAGAGCACGAAGAAAATCGTGGATTATGATGCAATTTACGTTTGCCGAATTTCAGAAGTTCGTCCTTCAGGTGATGGTTATATGTTTGAAAAAGGAGTACCGCTAAAGCTCACGAAACAGACTGCTAAGTTGTGGTTGTAGCAGAAACAAGTGACCTTCGTCACGTGTAAATAATCACACTTTATATCAGTACTCACGAACTTAGTATTCACAAAATGGTGGACACTTTTGACATGCTGGTGATTGATTAAATCCAACCCTAAGGACTTGCCTGCATGGTGGGGACGATTTTAGTGTCTGCTGGGGGGGGGTTGCTAATAAAGTATAACCGAATATGCACCGGCTTCTTGTAATGCTGATAGATGTTATGAATAACGGTTGTCAAATGCCGAAATACTAGGGGCACACTTTACGCCACAGCCGATTCAAATTAGGCAACAATTTTTCAATGTTCTTAAGGCCGTCACATAACTGAGTCCGCTCATGTTGAATCTTTTCAGTATTGTGAGGGGCGTATCTTTGACTAAAGAATTGATGCACATTATCACTGAAAATACCTTCGGTACGGAGTTTTACGCGGGAACCACACGAATGGTTCCATCGACTATCCGACTTTTTGGTTTGATTTTCATCACCGGGAATGTGTATTCCATCTAGATGTGGTATAATGCTCACTTTGGAGTTTTTGCTCAGTGGTGAGCGATGTCGTAAATTGACTGATTCATTCGATTTATTGATTGAATGGTAGACCTACCCTAGCAAGCTGGTAATGCCTCATATAGATTGAGGCACTATCAAGAAAGTATAGTGTGCTAATGTTATATTTACATGAATGTGCATCAGGTGACATTAGTTTCATAAAGGCGTGCGGGGCGTATCCAAGCAGAAGTGGTCGGAATTCATGCGATGGAATGCCATCGGCTCCAATCACTGAGTATGTCTGCACTAACGTGAGGAGTGTAGGCCTACTATCAACATATGTTTACCATCCTGGTAGGTAAACAAAACTCCCAACATCTGCCTGAATCTGGTTTCAATGGACTTGTCCCGAGGGGACACAGCTAATATACGCCACCCCACTACTTGAATTTCTAAGATGCCCTGAAGTGGGCATGGAATTTCGGAGAGTGATTGCAGATGCGATGAAGAATAGGGCGGACCCCGTAGACTCTCAGCACTTTTTGACCCAAACTAGACGACGATGAGTTGACTTTGTTCTTCACTGTTATCGAGGTGATTGCTATAAATGACAAAAGAGTGTAGCAAATTCACCGGCAGATTTATACAAGCACAGTCGCAGATAATCACTGGATATACAAATCAGTAAGTTAGATACAGTGTGTTGGTCATGTTGTCGTGTGCCTGAGTATCTTGTAAGCATATCCCGTGATTCAAGGAGGTAAATTTCCCCACTTTGACATAGGTGTGGCATAGTGTAATTCCCTAACAAACTGCTACTGCACTCAGTGATTGATTTGTTAAAAACTAGAATAACTATTCATTGACTTCCTAGGTTAGAACACAAGATAGAGGGATGTGTGATGCACATTTTTACTTTTACGTCCAAAGTAACCAGATAACTACCGGAATCAGCGACTAATATGTTCACTAACCACATTTATGCGCATTTAAATGACATCATCCAGGGGACAAAACTCGCATTCATCGATCTGGTTGATTGCGGTGAGCTCATGCGAGGTGACTCATTTTGTTCATCGTTCTGCTCCAAAAGTTTGCAGAAACATCTCTGCCATTCATTCTTTGTAGTATACAAACTATCATGTTTCATTTCGTTTCATCCACCTGTTTGTCTCGCTGTTTACTATCAGAATTCTTGGAGTAACGGTACACTACCTGACTGCATCAGTCTGCCTGACTGATTTTGCTTTCTGTATGCTCAGATCGATTGAAATGCTACCGGGTCTGCTATCTCCCACAGACATCAGATATAGCTGTTTTGTTTACTTCATCTGGAAACCTTCATGTGCATATTTTCGGCTAACGTGTTTACTACATAAAGAAATATTTATTGATCGGGAGTTCCAAAGAGGTTTCAAGTATGGTGCTTATTTTATGAGCCCAACCATGTGAAGGGAGCCTGTGAGAAGTGTCTTCCCAGGACATTCACTAAAATCTGAAATCCTTCGAACTCTCCAGTGATAACTATGTGCAGCCTCTGAAGAAGTCTACATGATTTCGTCTCACCGAAACTGCTAAGTGACATGCACAGCTCAGGATACATTGGTCATTCATATTGTCGCTTGACCTAACCATGATCAAGCCATACTCTGCTTGAAAGTTGCTCGCTTCATTTGGATGCATTCGTGCTTAAAACGTGGTTTAAGCGATCACATCTACGCGCCCTACATCCTCATACATTCAGCGGAACTTGTGGCCAGCTAAAAGAACGAAACAGGCCTAGGCGATATATTCAGTCTGAAGTACATGCGTCTCTGTCATGGTTTTACCTACTGAAATGGCAGTCAGTAGTCAAAGGTAACTAACGGTACATGGTTCCTCCAACCGAAACGTGTGTCGCAGGCATACGAGCGTCTCCAGATCTGTCAGTATGCCATAATATGTGGTATTGTATAACGCGCTGATATTTTAATATTATCTCCGGAGTCATGGTGGTGAGGATAGTGAGAATTCCGTTCTACCAAAGAGACCTTCGTGCAAGACACCTTTCATTCCATCCTCGCGAGCAAAATGTACTTTAACGACTTTCTCGGAAGAACACGACACTAATCACTCATTATTTGAACTGGTTTGAACTGGCATTTCCATGGTGGAGACCAATCTGAAACGATAATATTCTCAAGCTGCTGATTTTGCATGAATGATCACGTTCATCTAGTCTAATCAAAACCTAAGGTGTAGAATACCGAAAAAGTATCGCAATCTAACAATGCTAAACTGCGAAACTGTTAGAATGGCTTTCGAGATCCTACCGTATCATTTCAAAAGACGCCTGCCTACTGCCTGACAGTTATGAATTTTTTATTCAGGGGTGTTGTATGCAAACACTATAGTTATTTATTAGGGGTCAGATCTTTTCTGACAATTAAAAGCTGGTTACAACAAAGCCTACTTTTGCGTCGTACTGAGTTGGCAAATTTATGTACCCGGTAGAGCAGCAAAATGGTGACGTATTTAGACTAAATATACATATTGTATTATATATATATTGTTTATATGCATGTTTGTGCATATGCAACTTATTCACCCAGAGTATTAGTTTGGTATGATGTAAAATTGCTTGCATGGTCTGTTAATTGCGTACGCTGAACAGAGCTCACGTGCTCACACGTTTCCGGTATCTAATAGTGCCGGAGTGCAGGAGTACTAATCAGTGGCAAACAAAGAGCGTCTGTGGTGTTGTTAGCCATGTCCACAGCGTCTCTCGGATCCTTCGCCAGCTCACGTCTGTGTTGGAGGGGAATTTCAAACATCAGCAAACTACTCGATCGCCAGTAATCTTCCTGACTACTTTTCTACGCAACGGTTTGAGCAAACAAAAACAATTATTGATTGGTGATTTTTCACTTTCTTCCAGTAAATGGGGTTGTAAGTCTAATGATAATGCATTTTTTTTAATTATACCTGGCTATACTTGCGCGACACAAAGCCAGCCGTGTAAAATAGATATGAACCTGATGACTGCTTCGCCCTGGTGCCGTGCGCACCCGGTCGAGTCTCCAATGAAAACCAATAATTTAATCTTCGCTATTTTTCGTGATTTGCAACTGCCGTAGGATTCGTTCCACTCCTGTCATAATGATGAACCATGTTAGACAAATTGAAGTAAGCCAATTAGGACAAAGCTGAAATCGAGGAAAGTTTGTACACCAACCACAAGTAATTGTGTGTGCTTCTGTCATCATGCGTAGCGATGGCTGCTTCACGTACGGTCGAAAATCTGCCGGTTTGCTAACAGATATTTGGAAAAGATGTGCAGGTATTTTTATATGGAACTATGCTATTTGTGAATAATAAAAAGTATACTTGTCCATATGTTGGAAAACAGCTCA